GGTCGACCCTGCTTCGTCGCGGCGTCCGTTGCGGGGTGCCGAGGGATCGGTTGCCTTCTCTCCGCCCCGGCCGCCTGGGTCCGTGCCCAGTGGGGCAGAGGTGTCGCGAGGCGGGGCGTGAGGTCCAGCTCCGCCGTCGGCCTGCGCGGCGGTGTTTCCTGAGGGGGTGTTTGGGGGTCGAGCAGCAGGCGCCGCCGGGGTCGAGCTTTTCTCCTGGTCTTGGCTTCTCTCCCGCACCGCGATTGTTGCAAATAAAGTTTCTGAGTGGAGCCTGAGTGTTTAAGAAGCCGTTTTCAGTGCTCACTGCGGGGAAGAATTGAGAATTGTTGTCTTGTATGTAGAGCCTAACTAACATAGTCATCATAAGGGAAGTTTTAAATTTCTTTTAAGTGCTCGCTCTGATTCACCCTTGTACAGGTCTAGTATTAGGAGTACTTTCCTTACAGCTGGAAAAGACTCTTGGAGTTTGTTATTGCAAACTCTGACAAAGTTAGAAAGATGTTTATGGATCAAGGAGAAGTTTTCTGGAGGTTTGGGAGGTTAATACAGCATATCTCAGTCACATCAACTCAGCTGTGCAGAAATGTGATTGCTTTAACCATCAGGATCTGTGGACGAAGCTCAAGTGAAACCTGTTGCTTTTGCATAGAGACCTTCACAGTGTACAGCTGGGAGAGGTGCTGGGCTTTTGGAGGCCATTTGCTGCTTGAGGTATTATGGTGGCTATGTTACCAAGTTTAACAGCTAGGTGAACTCGAGGTTAATTGGAGTAGATGATTCATGAAATGTCCCTGAATATGTGTTTAATCTTGTAGCATGCACTAGGAGACACTTCCTTCACTAGAATGGTGTCTAAATAGCCCTTCTATAAGAACTTTAAATCTCATAAGTTTCTTTTTGAGCCCTCTGAGGCTTTTACAGATACTATGCAGGTTCTGTATAGCTCTAAAGTAAGAATTATGGATATATTAATTGGTTTCAGGTATTAAGAATGGCTTCAAAGAAGAGCAAAAGGAAACCAGGATGTACATGATTTAATTAATATAAAATTATAAATTGTAATTATAGACATCTTACAGTTATTGTAAAGCTGTAGGCTTTGCAGAGCAAAGGTTGTGATGATCTCTGGAGCTCCTAGAACATACGGTACTGCTATGTAAATAATACTTTCATGATCACTGCACAATTTAGTTTCATGTCATGAAAACATGAGGTCAGCTCCTTGGTTTTCAGCTATGTGCATCTAAACTCAAATTCATAAAATAAAACCAATAAAACTGTGTGCATCTTCAGTGTGTGGGTAACAATGCAGTTTTCAAGAGAAGCAAAGTAGTCTCCAGTTCAGTACTGCTAATGTTTATGAAAACACAAAAAGAAAAACAGAATGTGACAAATCTGTAAAGTATGAGCAACAAAGAAAGGTTGGTGTTGGATAACTTAAAGATGGGAGAACTGAGGAGTAAGTTCACAAAAAATTGGTGCAGAGATGGGAATAAGCCATTTCACTGGTCTGTGGATGATAAAATAATAGTTGGCTTAAATTGCAAGAAAGCTATTTAACATTACTGCCTTAACTCTCTAGCTATGAAGAAATGCTTTCTAGTTGCAAGGATAGTGAGTTTCTGGTATAGATTGACTAGGAGTCTTCATCACTGGAGCACACTAACAATAATCTAGACAGATGTGTTGGACATAACTTAGACACGATTGTCTGGCATCTAATGGAAGACTGCCTTGTATGAGCTCTTGAGGTCCCTTCCAGACTTGTAATGATACAAAATTGTGATCATCAGGATTATCTTGCAGACTTTTAGTTAAGAGGTCACACACATTTGCTCTTCCAGCTAAATCAGCCATAGAGATACTTTGTGGCTCCAGTTGTTAGGTGCTTGTGCCTTGTGAATTTCTATTTCAGTTTGGCTCCTGAAACCTTATTTAAAAAAAAGCAGATTATCTATTCCCTTATATTCTTTGTTTGTTATTGTTTTTATCAGATAAGCAAGCGTCTGCTTTTTTGCCTGTTTGCTGTGTTGCGTTTGTTTGTTTTCTTGTGACATTACACAGCAGTCTGGGGCCAAGTTGATTGTCGGTGGGTATAATACCAATGCCTTTAGTTTTGTATCCAGTTATCATTCATCCTGTGTTGAAGTTGGAATTTATCCTAAGGGTATTAATGAAGGGCAAGCAGAGCTAGTCTTGACTGTTTCAGATAGTAAATGGTTTCCCTCATTTCTACTTGTATGCTTCCTCAAAAAACCCCCAGCAGCAGAGTGAAAAAGTGAAGGACATTGTGGTGCTCTGTTTCTTAAAATAACTATTTTGTTTTGTGTAATATTTCAGGGTTATGCTGTTGTTTTAAAGGCCCAGATACAATAAAAGTTGCATTTATTTCTCCAGTATATTTTCTGGGAGGCAAGAGATGCTTTAGAGTTGGCTTAAACGAAATAATAGGCGTGTTCTTATGAAGCTGTTAGAGATCTTCAGGTGAAAGTGGTCTTAATTGTCTGATTTTTCTTTCTCACTTTGTAGTGTCATATTTTACTATACAATAACTTCTGAATGAAGTGAAATGTCACTTGCTTAATATCTTAGTGATATTAAGCAGATGCTCTTATTTTGTCTTCACAGTATTTTTGGAGGACCCAGTTTTCACAGCTGTTGGGTCTTTGAGTTCCTGTTGATTTTTTTTTCAGAGCTTTCAGTTTCTTGGTGTTTCTGAAAACAGTGGATTTCAATTTCCGTCATATATGTAATTATGCTTATCTGGGCTTCTTTTTGTTGTCTAGGGTGGTTTGTGGTTTTTGTTGTGGTGTGTGGTGGTTTTTTGTTTGGTGGGGGATTGTTTGTTTGGTTTTGTGTTTGTTTTTGTTTTTTTTTTTAGCTTAAGACAGGTCAGATAAATGGGTTTAACAGCCTGAAACACACCTTACTTAAAGTACTGGGCTGGATGTTTAGTCTTGGGAACTGCTTTGTATATATCCTTCAATTGTCATTGATAAGCTCAGACCATTAACTTTTAAAATATATTTATTTGTCTTGAGTTTACTTTCAGTAGTGTTTGTATTTCAAAACAACTGCTTTGATTTTTATTAATGGCTATCATGGGATTTGTTATCTGGAAAAGAGTCTTCTGTATTACATCTTTCTATTGCTGCTTCAGTTACTTTTTAATTTTCAGTCTCTATTGTGATTCCTTGATAAATAAGTGTGCTTTTTATAAGTGTGCTCTTTATTTCTTTTGCTGTTCTTTGCTGCAGTGGTAGCACCTTTTCGGTTCAGGTGCCTTTAATGTTGTCTTTCTGGTTAGCATTTCCTGGAGCTAAATAGCTGTTGCTTGAACCTCTGCACAGAACTGGGTAAGAAGAGATCTTAGGAGAAGGGTAAGCTCTATTGCTAGAGCCCATCCTCTCCCTGAGTGTGCTTTTATTTATTTTTTAAAGTTTTACAGCTACAAGACTGTCTATTAATAGAATTAGACATGGTTTTGTTGCATAGGAATGTAGTTATTATCTTGAATAATGCCCCAATTTCTAGTTCCTGGAGTCGGTTCTTGGGAATTTTGCTCAGTGGTAATGGATATCTGCGAGATACATAATTCCTATTAAGCAGTCTTAGAATTTTATTTTCTGGCAGGTTTGCTCTTACAGCTAAGAAAACTGGCTCTAGTGATACCTTTATTGAATGCAGTAGTTAGGTGCTTTTGCCTCGTGAAATTCTATTTTGGTTTGGTTCCTGAAGCTTTCAGTGGTTCCTCTGAGGAACCTCTGAGGCAAACTCCAGTTTCCTGGGTAAAGTCTTTAACAGCCTGTGTTAAATTCATGCATGTTTGGAGGATGGGACCATGTAAAATACACCTGTTTGAACTCTTGCATTTCATAGAATCATGGGATCATAGAATCATGGGATCATAGAATCATGGGATCATAGAATCATGGGATCATAGAAGATGGCTGGAAGTCAGAGGCCAGGTTTGTTCTACAGTAAATGCTGGGGAGGGGTGGGGAGAGTTGGAAACTTGAGATGGTGTTCTTTCATAAATATTTATTTTTGGTATAAACTGAATCACTGTCTGGTGTTTCCATCAGAGAAAAAAAATGTAGATGTTTCTGCTGTAGGGGGAACATAGGTGTCTAGGCTGTTCTCACACACATGCAGCTGGACAAGTTACTTCATCAAAATAACTGTGTGCTCTTCATTGACTCACTGCAGATTTTCAGTTTCCAGGATCATATGTGATGAATTATGCTCTGCTTTTATTGCAGATTCTTTATTGTAATAGACAAAAGTCAGTTTGTTTTTGTTTTATTAAAAAAAAGTTATAAGTTTTAATATATTAAAATTTGGACTTACGTAGGAATCTTATTTGTCATCCAGGATTTTTACCCAAGATCTAGAATGGGACTTTTAATTTATTTTAGATCTGGTCTTGTCTTCATGTTCAGAAAAGTCATGTATGTAAGTGACTTTCCACTGTGCAGTTCCCACAAGTATAAAAGGTGGGATTATCAATTTAGAAATAATACCTAGTTAATGTTGTAATACCTAGTCTGCTCGAGCAACATCCATTACTCATACTCTTTTTGGCTAAAAAATATTTCTCAGTTTATTCTAGAACTGTTAGAATGATACAGAGGTTTTCTGGTGGTGCAGTACTTATTAGGGAAAAGATCATAATATAGTCAGTATTAAGTGCGTGTTTAAAATGATGCTGCTTTAGGGCTAAGCCAGGGTCCTATTGAAGAAATCTTTATACAATCTGAGGCTCCCATTGGAAATTTGGGAACTTCAGAATCTTGCAGGAGCATGGTCTCCTTTACCTCGTGACATGACTATAAATCATTTGAAAAGTGGGCTTTTTGCCACAAAAGCATGGATTTATTCTTCAAATAGTGACTAAAATCTCATAACTTTCGTCACAAATGATGTATGAAACACAATCAAAAATATAGTGTCTCATCTATATTGGCAATAAGTATTTTGCTACTGGCAATGGGCTTCAAATGATCTTAGAATCTTTAATCATAACAAGTAACCTTAAGCATAAAAGATGAAATGCAGAGTGGTACTGTTTCTGCAAAAACTTACATTTGTATTTATATTTTTACGCTATGATTAGCTTTGCAGAAGTCTTCAGGTTGTGCTTTCTCTGTGTGAAATTTAGCATGTTGGTAGGCTTTGTGTGGTTGAAGTTCATATCCAAATTTTAGCCTCTTAGATTTTCTGGAGCTCCTTGTAGTTTAAGTGGTAGGTAAGTGCCTATATGGTATGGAGGAAGATGGGCTCAGAATGCATGCTTAAAAAAGTAGTATTGGGCTGTGCGGTCTTGAGCATTGTGTTAGTATTTGTGCCTTGGTCATAATAATGAATATATTTTGTGTTGTGTATTTCATTGTAGTACATTATAGTACATATTACATGTACATGTATTATGTATTACATTGTTTGTAACTCAAGTCATGATTTAGGCTTTATGTAGGATAAGCAAAGACTTGAAGAATAATATTCCAATTCCCACCCCAAACCCTTTCCATACTCTAGTTTTGGTCTGATGCTGTTCAGCAGTTCTACTTGTGTGTTTTCAGGCTGTAAGTGCTTGTGGCTTAATTGTTATCTTGCCACTGCGTACAAAGTTACCTTTATACATAACTAATTAAAGAAGTGAGTTCTTTAGCTAGATTTTGGCTAAACCCCGTAGTAAAAGCAAATCAAAACAGAAAACCCCCAAACAAACCAAAACAAAACCCCAAAGTGAAACAAACTAAAAACAACAGACCCTCAAAAAACTAGTAAATATTTATTTGGTACCCTTGATTTCATTGTGCCTTAGTTTTACTGGTGTAATCTTCACTTTTTAAGGTACTTGGTTAAGTTGATCAGTTGAGCTTGAATGTAATGTATTAAAATGTTTTTCTTAATATTGTTCAGTATTTTCCTGTGGAGGCTTTAGCATGTTATTAAATATGCTGAAGTCAAGCAAGTCTATACCTTTTTTCTTAACACCTTAACTATTCTGCCTACTTAAAAATTATCTAGATCTAGTCTGTTTTGTTTGACAGTAGTGTTGTACAGTTTGTGTAATTGATAACTTTCTGTAAAGTGTGGATGCTCTTAGGAACAGTTTTTTACTTTAATGCTAAATATCAAACTCCTCTCTTTCTCTCTCTCTCCAAAGGCATCGCTGCTCCAGAGGTGTCAGAGCACATTAGTCATAGCAGAACACAACAATGAGACTCTTACACCCATTACACTAAATACTATCACTGCGGCAAAACGTCTTGGAGGTGAAGTTTCTTGTTTAGTAGCTGGTACCAGCTGTGACAAGGTAGGAAATGCTATTTTCGTATGAATGAAATAATGAATGCTGTGAAACAATACTTGGTAGCACCTTGGTCAGCCTGAAAAATAATCTGTAGTGAAGAGGAACTCTGCCAGGAATTGCTGATCTTCTGGAAACGTCCTTCACTTGAACTGCTTCTCTTCTGAAGTGAAAATATGGGTATAGATTTCATTTCATGAGGGAGAATATCAATATCAGTTGTTATAAGCTTACGTAAGCAAATTTTTATAAGACTGAAAGACAATTAACTTTTAAAACAATATTCCCCTGTAAAGTTTGAAAGACAAATATTGCAGTGCTAATAACTTGGAAAGAAGCTTGCAGTTGTTGAAATGGAAGCCAGCGGAAATGAAACAGCACAGTGACAAATAGGGCTTCTGAGCATCTTGCATTTACTAGGCCACTACTAGTAGCATAGCGAGAGTGTGTTTGGAACCTGAAATTAGTGTTTCTTGACTTTATAATTTAGCTTACATCTAAAAAAACTTTCTTGTATGTTGGCTGTTGTATTGTTAGTTTAATTTATATGTGTAAAATCTAGAGACAATATATTTACTACATTGGTGACACTTTTATTCCAGCATGATCTACTCTTGTGTGAACAATAGAAGTACAAATAATTATGCCTAAGTTTTTTTCATACTAGGCTATAATTTAAGAATCATTATTCTGAAAGCAATATGTAGAATCCCATGTGGAAGACATACTTACGGCAGCTAATTCACAAATAGGTGGAGAAACCTCAGTGGCTATTCTAAACTGAGACCCAAGTGTTTGAGGTGAAGACATGGAACATTTATCTAGATGAAGAAAATGAAAAAAAAAAAAAATTTTTCCCTGATATGTTTTGTCTTTGAGTTTCCTTATTCTCTGGCACTTGCGTAGTAGAAAAATTTGTTTGGTTTGGTTTTTTAGTGCTAAGTATATGGTGTCTATTTGGCAATATATGTCATGCTGGGACAAAGTACTTTACAAAAAATTAAGGCTTGTTTTTTCTTTTTTTTAAGTTTCTTTGTAAGAATGTTTTGATAGGACAAGAGCGCCAGTTATTCAGATATTCTGTAGTAGCTATCATGGAATTTTTATTTATTGCCTGTTGTTAATTTTTGAGGGTAAACTGATACTCAGCAACTCAGTAAAAATACACTAGTGCTGGGACAGTGCATGTGGTCTCCAGACCCTGCTGTCACTCCTTTTCTCTCTGATCTGCAACAACTCTTTTGTCATTTAAACTTCACTCTTGCAAATTTAAAGGAAAAAATGTGCTATATATTTTCAATTCTATATTTATGCATCAGTTATCAGAGAGTCAGCTACAAACAAAGATTGCTTCTGAAATTTGGACAGAGATCATAACATTGCTGTACGTTTGTATTTGTATTGTATGCTTGTGTGGAAGTACTGAGAGATTTAATAAAAAGTAGGATTGATTTCTTGATGATTATATTGCAATTTTGAGCAGTAATCCTCAAGTGTGATTGTTATCAGCTGTTGTAATAAATAATAAAATCATTGTGTAGTCCTGCATACAGGAGGCAAGCTTTCTTATGTTTGCTTTGCTTTGTAGTATTCTTATTCACAAAATTAATTTTCATCATAAGGCACTATGCCATGAGTCAGAAGATCTGTAGTTTGTTCCATCAGGTTTGGTCTGATTTTGCCATTCACATACTTTTATGTTCCAGTTCTAAGAAATCTATAGGCTGTGAGCTCTTTGCAGCAGGGACTCTCTTGTTACTTGTTTGTGGTGCCTATTATAATACAAACTACTAATAATTTGTTTGTAATCATAGGTAGCACAAGAACTCAGCAAAGTGCAAGGTGTTGCAAAAGTTCTGGTGGCTCAGCACGATGTGTACAAGGGGTTTCTAGCAGGTGAGAACTGTTCTTACCTATTGACAAAAGAAATGGTATTTATATTTGTGATTAAAAATAAGATAGTTGTAAATTTTGAACACTATATTTTTATCCTCAGAGGAGCTGACTCCCTTGATTGTGGAAACTCATAAAAATTTTAATTACACCCACATTTGTGCTGGAGCGTCTGCCTTTGGGAAGGTAAGTAGATCAAAATGCATAAAAAATTTCTCGTAGAAAAGACAGAAACACTGTTGTATGTAAGGGTGTGAATCGAATGCCTGAGAGAGGTCAGCCAGTTTTGAGTTTTCAGAACAATGTTGTATTAGTTAGAAACACTGGTTCATGTCTGAGTTACGTTGTGGGCTGATGTGGACAAAGGAAGGGTGTAGAAGAAATATTTACTGGTAACCAGCTAGATCTGAGTACACAAGGCAAAATGTACAATAACGTAAAATTAAGTGATATGAAAGCATTATGAAAAATGTAAGGAAAAATACAGTAAATTGAGATGAAAAATGTTGAAATTACAGTGTGCAGACCTATTGGAAGTAAATGGATTTTTATCTTACCTTAAAGTAAATTTATTTATCGCATCTGGTATAAGCCTTGTAAATTGAAATGTCTCTAAATAACACAGATCCAAGTCCTAACCAAGATGTTTTTTAATGAAAATACTGTTTTTCAAGACTTGTTTTTAAGGACTCTGTTTTTAAGTACACAGAGAGCCTCAGTATTAACAATCTGGTCAGCATGGCAGTGCAGCTGAATTAGAGAAAAAGGATACTTCAGACATCTTGCCAATGTGGAGCGAATAATGACAACAGCTTTCCATCAGACTGCTTTCACTTCCAATCAATATAAATCCATATACTTGTAATTTTGCTAAGATAAATCTTTACCTTAAGTCTCGGGGGTTTTTTTAGTTTTGTTTTATCTTTCTATTTTTTATCTGCTGTGTCTTAGTAAAGGTTAATAGCTTTTGCTTTAAATAGCTTATGCTTCCATACTTGAGTGCTTAATGTGAGTAAAAATGTCAGAACTGGGCCCTTTATGTTGTACCAGACTAGGGGTGGGACAAAAAGCACGCAAATTTCTTGCTATCATTAGTTTCTTCATGACTTATGTTGCCCTTTTTATCCCTCTTCCCATTCACAAGGCTGCTAGCTAAGTTTCTAGAGTCAGTTTCAGAGCGGGAGAATATATATTTTAATACTGTTAAAATACACTTTGCTTTGAGGTGAGAGTGCAGAGGTTATTTTTCCTATTGTCTCTGATAGCTAGCTTCCAAAAATGCTTTTTTGTTTTCTTCAAGTGCTAAGAGCTAGGCAATCCATAACTGTCAAATTTCTGAGTAAATTGCATCTGTATTAAGTTTTAAACTACTGAAGCAAATAAGCCTCCTAATTTAAGGTATTGAATTAAGGGTTAACTTACTGTAATTCTCAATTTCTAATGTTATTACAATAATGGGATTCGATTTGGCTTCTAAAGCTACGCAAGTAGCCCTGCAAAAATCTTACAGTAGTACGTGCCTTTTTACTTACAGACAGCATTATATGAAGTTAAAATTGGGACAGCAGGCGTTCTTTTACTGACTATGTGTGTTTTACTTAGCATTTACTTTGCTAACTTTTAATCTCTAACTTCTAGAATCTTATTCCCAGAGTGGCTGGCAAACTTGATGTTGCCCCTGTTTCTGACATTATTGAAATTCAGTCACCAGACACTTTTGTGAGAACTATCTATGCAGGTGAGTAATTACAGAATTATATGTGGTATCTGTGCAATAAAGGACCCACTATGTAATCCTGTTGTTAGAACCCTGGAATATGATGAAGTTTCACTTTACAACCTGAATTGCTGTGGTTCATGATAATGAAACCTGGGGATGGACATGATGCTCCATGTGTGAGAAAGCAAGTAGTCCCAACAACTTCGGTATTATCTGTTAGAAACCAGGTCTATCACGTTAATTAATAGAATTTGGTAGTCTCCTTTATACATACTGCATTTCTTTGTTAATATACTTCTGATTGGATTTGGTAAAATGTAAGACATGAAGTTAATTGTCTAGCTTTATTGAATATGACTTGCAGTAATTCTGATCTAAGATACCACAGGGTTATTTTTCCTAATTATGAAGACGTTGAACTAATTATTTGTAGTATTTAATTGACTTAATTTGCCATTCTTTTTTCATTCTTGTTTCTCTAATGCTTGTCTGACGCTGTTTGAATTTAGATATGAGCTCATTAGCTTGTGTTTCTTAATTTTACTGTACAAGGTTGTATCTTGTGTACCAATGTGGTATTACATTTCAAGTTACTTTACCAGGAAGTGGTTTTGTGTTGTATTTTTAAGTTGCTTCCCACTAATTCAGTTTAAATATGACTTTGTTCATGAATAGCTGATGTTGCAGCATTTTTCTTTTCAGTGTTTCCTGCAGCTTCCAGTGTGAAGTAAATACCTGATATTGTACGTTATTGAGAGAAACACAATCTCACAGATAAGTGAGGCAGGCCTCATTGTCTTCTGTTCTGCTGAATTTGTGCAACAGAATAAAAGATCTACTTTGCATTATATTATTGGTTTAAGAATGACACTTTAAAAATTGTTGGGTTTTTTTCCCCTTCTGAAATGTAAAAGCTCATTCATAAGATATTATTTGAATGTTCTGTATCCTTAAAAAATACAGGATTTATTATCATACTTCAGAAACACGGAGCTAAAAAATAAATTAAAATATTTGTAATCTGTGTTTATTAAGTGCCTAGATCTCATGTTTTAGTCATCTAAAACTGCAATTTTGGGAAGAAACTTGATGAATGTTGCCTTTTCTGGTAGAACTATGATGTGTTTCTGATATTTGTTTTTTGAAAAGCATAGTATGTCTGATATAATCGTCTTAAAAATATGTTACTTTTTTTAGGAAACATTCTTTGCACTGTGCAGTGTGATGAAGCAGTTAAAGTATTTACTGTACGGGGAACTTCCTTTGAGGCTGCACCCACCAGTGGTGGTAGTGCCACTTTAGAAAAATGTGAGTATTTGTTCTGGTATTTTGTCATTTCATGTAATAGAGTTAGTTTTGCTCACTGCATAGTGATGTTTTGCAGAGGTGTTTCTCAAAGTAAATGGATTGTTTTAATCTTAGTTTTATGCTTTTAATATGAGTACTACGCTTTTTAGTGTAGGGGAAGATATGGATTATCTAAGTAGCTCAGTTGCTACTTAATTGACCAGAAATGGGGATTCTGTGCTGAAATCTTTGCCTGATTCACTTGCTTCTTAAACCTCAGTCTTGAAAACCTCAACCTTGAAAGTTCCTTTAAATTTACAGCTGTGAGAATAGTCAGATTGGTTTTCAAAGCAAGATTGAGGAAAAAGTGGCTGGCTGTGAGCAGTTTTGGTTTAATCGGCTGTATTTCAATTGAGATAGGTCATTACAGCATCTGGCTAAATTAATAGTAAATTAGATTTGAGAACACCCAGTTGCTGGTTTATGTCAGTTTTAACTAAATCAGTTAAACTGTTATTTTAAGGAAGCCAGTGTAGCTTTGATAATAGAGAAATCCAGTCACAGACTTGCAAAATAGTTGCAGTTGGAAGAGACACGTGGAAATAATTTCATCCAACACCCCTGGAACAGGTTGCCCAGGACTGTGTCCAGTCAGGCTTTGAGTCTGTCCACAGATGGAGACTTCACAGCAACTCTGGGCAACCTGTTCCAGTGTTTGATCACTGCTACTAGTTATTTCCCTTTGTGCCTTTTTATGACTGAGGTAAATCCAGCAGAGGCAGTCATTAGTAACATGTTGTGTATGTTCTGTGTGTACCAGTCCTCATATTTTTCTGAGCGGCCTAGTACCTGCTCCTGAACCACTCTGTATTTTTTTAACATCTGTGGACATTAGGAAACAAATGCTACTTGATATTTAAGATTAGCGTATCGCACTGTCATTGCCCTACATGGTTGACGTGATTGCCTATCCCACACTTACTATGCTGGGTTGATAACAATGTGTTACTTATGCAACAGACCTTCATGTTAGTCCAGCTTGTGCTATAGGTTACTAAAACACAACTAATGAAAGAGGCTTGTAACTCAAAGCCACAGAGCAATTACTGATAGTAGTTAAAAGTTTGTGGTAGAATTGATTATAGAATGAACTTTAAGTTTAAGCTCAAATTTAAAAGGTTGTAAATAGACACTTTATCCTTTTTCTCATGGCTGTTTTTCATCTGATGAATGCAGTAACCCCTCCACCACCTGTTGGTCTATCTGAATGGATTGAGCAGAAGTTGACAAAAAGCGATCGACCAGAGCTTACTAGTGCAAAAGTGGTTGTATCAGGTGGTAAGTAGATAACATTAAAACTGTGTTATGTTGTGTTTAATGCTACACCTTGATTAAATAATATCTGTAGCAGAATGCTATAATATGGTCTGTTATAAAAACCCAACTATGTGGTTCTGAACTACAGCATAGGGGGCCACTGGGAACACACCCAACATGCATGTATTGTGAAGAGGCAAAACATGAGTTTAACATATGCTAGTAGGTCCTTTAAGGACGTGGTCGTATTTGGTGAGTCCTTTTATAGCAACGGGAAGAGTTTTAAGATCCGAACCTGTCATGTTGAAAATCATGGCTTAATGTTACAGGCAGTCCAAGCATTATGTAGTGGGTTTAATGATTTTAAAAATCATTGTTTGTACTCTGCTCTTCAAGTGTAAAGTGATGGACTGTGACTTTTTTACAGCATGCCTGCAGCTAAAAAATTAATCCTTAGTTATCCCACTACAGAGTTTTGCACCTAAAGCCAGCAGAGGGAGCACAGATTAGTAAAAAAAATCCGGCTTTCCTGAATTCAGAGAATGATCTTGATGGTGCTGTAGGTAGGAGGTAAACTAGACAGTGCTGTTGGTTTATACATATGACTTAATAAAATTAAACACAAAGACAAAAGATAAATCTCCAAATATTAAATACTATTGAGTAATATATCTAGAAATAGTCTATGCAAGCATATATTTTTGCCTTTGCAGATGCAAATACACAAAGTTTATGTAAGGGGTATAGCAGTCTTATAGCGTGTTATGTTCTTCTTTCTTCATCTTGTTTTGTTCTTAACTTTTAAGGGAGAGGCTTGTAGAGAGGCGAAAATTTTAAGTTGTTATATGATCTTGCAGATCAGCTACATGCTGCAGGTAAACTTGTTTTTCTCCTTTTTTTTAACCTGGGTTATTATATTTATAAAGGTCACATTAGAAACAGTGTTCCTCTTCAGTCTCTTTTATCACTATCAATTAAATTCTTAAAATCCTGTGTAGTCATAGGTAAAGTTTTAGCTTGTCCTTGTGATCAACTGTGTATTTAAATGGCTGTGTATGAAGCAGAATACCAAACTGTAATGTTCCCTGTCCTTTTCAAATCTCCAGAACTCAAGCTCAACAAAAAGCAAAGTTGTATAAATAAAAAAGTTACATTAGCTCATTTTGAAGACCTGATATTTTCTTCATGCATCCTTATGCTACTCCTTTACAGAATCCCTTTCACAGTTCAGGTTTACTTTGATATTTTTCTTTACTATGCCTGACTTTTGAGCTCCACAGCAATGTAAGATGGCACACATGTTCTAGTCAAACTTGGAAAAACATTATGGGAAAAATCCTCTTTTGACGAAGCAACAAGGGAAAAGAATGGAAATGTGCCAGATTGAAATCCTAGGTTTTAAGTATATGGCTCTTTGGTGCTGAGAGTAAGGATTTCCTGTTGCTTATGAAGTGCATTAGCACTTAGTATTTGGAAGTGTCAGGCAGTGGTATAGAGAGGGATTACTGTAAGAGCTCTTAAGAGGGAAATTTCTAAATACATGCGCTTAGAGTGTGGGACTCTTCAGTGAAATACATGTGCTTTTATGGTGATAGGGATTTGGCTTGCTAATATTTTAAAAGAAAACACTGGAAATATTTTCTTTCAACTAGTTGGAGCTTCCCGTGCAGCTGTTGATGCTGGCTTTGTTCCTAATGACTTGCAAGTTGGACAGACGGGCAAAATAGTTGCACCAGTAAGTATAGAAATGATCTTTCATAAAAGAGCTATGATGTTTTCTAGCATGTGTTTTCCTTCAAAGGAAATGCTTAGAAATGAGCTAAGTCTTAATACTGAGCCTAACAAGAAAATCTTAGTGTGCCCAGTGTGATACTGTCATTTGCAAAGCTAGAGCAGCAAGCTGTGATGTAAATCTCTGCTTTGGGTCAATCAGAAGTGTTCTGCAGGCAGTTTTGTCAGAAGTTTTGCATGCTGGATTTTCATAGTTGTGTGTGCTGAACATTCTTTTACTTTTCTAACAGCCATCATTGATATCATAAAAGATACCATTGCCAACATAAATTTGAAATTAATTTTATATGTGGCTCGATCTCTGGGAACCGTGTTTTTGTTTGGTTTTTACAGGTGATGTGTTTTGGGTTTTTTTTGGTTGAAGTTTTGGTAACTGTAACTGGATGATTATAAGCAAAATTTTTGTAAGAGATGAGAATACAAAATACCTGAGACGTAGTCTACAGGTTGGCTGCTGTAGAGTGAAATACCAAGGAGGGCATACCCTAATGAGTGGCTTAACGTTGTGAAATAACCTGCTGCACATCTTTTTTGCTATGCATCCTCATATTGCAGAGGACTGATTTCTATCTTTTATTGTTCTTTTTGGATCTGGGGAGGGAGCTTTTTGTCATTTAAAAGTCTGAGAGTACTTTCATTGTTCCTTATATTACCTGGGGAATTTTGAAAGTGGTGGCAGATAAAGCACACCAGAACATTTGTGAATAAGAAGGTAGAAATGTAGCTCATCTCAGCGTGGCATGGAATGTGCACTAGCATGTACTGAGAGGTGATGATCATAAACATGAGTGGGGAATTGTGACTAAGGACCTGGGCAGGTATAGAAATTCGTTGATGTACACTTTGAGCTACATAACCAAGTAAACATTTAGCCCTTCAGTAAGCGGTTCTCTTTGACCGTGGTTACAGTTGACACCAAAGAACAACTTTTTACTTGTTAATGGTTTAATGAGACCAGAAAGGGAGAGTGAGCTGGAACTTAGTGAGAAACTTGTCATATTTCAACTTCTGCATTTACCAAATTGCAGTAATTTAAATAACATTAAAAAGCTGTTCATGTCCAAAGCCTTGGTAGGATCTGAAATGTGTGGTTTGCCTTTGTACCATTAAGAGCTGCAAATTCAAGAACTTCAAACCGTGACCATTATTTTTACAGTAATGTATCCAGCAGGGTAGCCAAGAACTTGTGATTCCTGGAGTCTGTTGTCAGTTATGCCTGCTGGGTTTTTTTGAACAAGAGACTTTGTGCTTCTGAGTTTTTCTGTCTTGAGATGTGGATAATGATGTTTGCTGTGTGGTTGGTTTGGGGTGCTTATTTTTGTTATTGTTTTTGGGGGTTTCTTGTTTCCTTTTTTCTTTTTCTTTTCTTATTTAGTCCTCATCAGAAACCTGATGATGATAGTCCTGTAGATGGGCTAAGTGGAGCTATTTCTAGGTGCACTAATGTTTAACCTGTAAATCCGTATGATAACCAGCTGCTACAAAAAACGGCCTCTGAGAAATAGACCTATTGGTAAGAGTTAAGGTCCATCTGGTTGCATATTTTGTCCTTCCAAAATCTTGCTATGTAAGCAAATTGTGGGGCTTTGCAGATTACAACTACAACCCTAATTCTTCTTTCTGGTGATGTCTTTCTTCTGTGAATAGTAATTTTGTGAATGTAATTATTTTTTTGGACATAGTGCAGAACAGGTGTAACCCTCAGTATAATACTTCCCCTTTGCTAAGGGAACATTTATACTTAAATATAATGCACTTTCTTTTGATCACACAGTAGGCATAAGGTCCAATGTATTGCAGCTATAGGTCTCAGCAAGGTAATCAACACTAACTCAGTAGGTGCAACTGCAACAAATATGGAAATTTCAATTCCAAAGGAGGCAGAGTCGGTTGTCATGAGGAAGCAGTCTTTAGTTGGTTGTCACATACCCAAACCTCTGCAAACTGGGGAGTACGCCGAGTATAAGTTGCATATTTTGAAATGGCATGAGATGAGACTGACCATCCTTAGTTCTTCACTACCCAAATATCCATCATTGGAGAAGTGGAGAATGCTAATTTGAAGACAGCTCAGCTCTGGTTTGTGTGACTTGAGGCTCAACAATGGACATTCTTCCAGAGTCATATAAACAATTCTGTTGAAACAAAAAAGGCTAGTTTTTTATGAAGATACAGCGCTGTAACTTGCCGCAGATGGCTCAAAGCAGCATGTGAAAGTCATAAGAACCTACAGCCACATCATAGGATCACATCAGAGTCATCATTGTCATCTCCTAGAGGACTGTTAAATAGCCATTAGTCAGGGCTGACTAATGAATGTTTTTGTGTCAGTAAATGATCCTAACTGGCACAATTGCATGGTGCTACATCTTTCTGTCAGCAGGTTGATGCATTTCTCTCTCATCTTCCTTAACAAATATTTAGTAAGTAGTGAGTTATACAGAGTACTGAAAATTATATCCCTCTTGTTTGAAGTTCTTCAGGTATTTCTTCTGGATCTTAAAATACATGCAAGGACAGCATACAATGGCTTAGAAGTATAGAAAATATTCCATGTTAATTGTAATTAAAGTGCAAGTTGAATTGATACTTAGCCCTCAGAATTGCTGACTTAGAGGAATGGAATTATGTGTAGTGAAAGACAGAGTTCACTTAACGAAGGAGTAGAACTGAACTTTCTTGATCAGATCAAGATTATACTGGCTATTTCGACAATCCTTTCTCTTCTTTGATACCACTAGTTCAGGGAGAGCTCATGACCTTATCTGGGAAACTGCAAAGCAGCTTTGTACATTGGTTGGTTATATTAGGTGAGACCCGAGTGCTGTGTTTAGCTTTGAACTCCAGTTGTCATCACAGAATATTAGGAGTTGGAAGGGAC